TGGCAAAGGGGCAGTTGGGTAATGGATAATTTTCACAACCTTTGTTTGCAAAGCAAGGAAGGGGGAGGGGCTGGCACCTTTTTTACCAGGAGGGGGTATCTCGTGCACCCTCGACTGGTTTTGTTTTATTTCTTTATTCATGCTGAATCTTCAAATGGATATTTAGTTCATATTGTTTTTATATAGTGAGATTTGGGATTAACAGTGTTTTGACCAGTTAAAGATTAAACACAATACAATTTTATTTTAATGATTTAATTTAAATCTTTGCCTTAAAATTTGCCTTGAAAAAACAAGCGCCCACCATCCATTCTTCATGTACTAATTAGTATTGTCTGCAGTATTTAATTTTCTTTTTAATTTAATTTTCATTTTAGTTGTTACTTAAGAATGTGTTACCTCCAAGCCTCCACCTGCTTTCTTTGTTATCATTAGTGTTGTCCTTGCTGTTTGTTAAAAAATGAATGCTATTGTCTTTGTTAGAGATCGGCCTGAAGGGTACATGCAGGATTTAAGTGTTGACTGCCCTCCAGTGGTGGTCAGGCAGCCAGCAATCATTTTAATTTGATTAGATATTTTATCTCTTTATAATGTGACTCATTTCATTACTGAATCACTTAATGCATTAAGCAGGATGAAGTGGAGAGATCAGGAGACATTCGTCAGTTTAGCTCATACACTTTATTGAAGTAAATAAGAGGTCAGAGCAGAACATGTTCATTTATCTCAATAATGCAGTTAGATCTTCTTGCTTGTACGTACAAAAACAACTGGACCACTAGCGGCGGTGGCTGTGGAGGTCTGTAAAGCAAAGCAAGGGGACTTTAGCTACATTACAAGCATTGAAACTCATTTCACAAAGTCAAATATCATGACCTCTCACCTCCACCAGCTTTCCACCGCTGATCTCAGATGTGTGGTGGTACTTGGGGAAACTTATGGCCAGCTTGCCCCCTTCCATGGAGACTGTGCCCTAGTGAGGACATGCAAGTATGAGTTTATCACATTGAAGCAGTTTATGAACATACTATCTCACTGAAGTCAAAGTTATACAGTAACTTCAGTCTGATCTCTCATGAGGGTTATTATGCATACCTTAAATTTCTTTCCTCCGACAGTCTCCATGTCACTCTCTTTGCCAACAATGAATTTGTTGGTCACAACATGGTTATTTGGGTAGTACTGGATCCATGTGAAATCCTCTCCATTCTGGATGACCTCTGTCACAAGCTTGAAGTCACGGCCCTTTGAGATGACATCATCAGGGATACCTGAGGTATACAGGACCAAATCAGCATATTAGAAAGATTACGTGAAGGATCATGTGACACTGAAGACTGGAGTAATGGTTGTGTGGTATTGAAGATGGGAGAGAGCGCTGTACATTCACTCCCCCCACCTACAATCCCTGCCGGTACGAGACTCGAACCCGCAACCTTTGGGTTACGAGTCCGACTCTCTAACCATTAGGCCACGACTTCCACTGGCTTTTAACCATCATCAGGGCAAAAATCAGTTGTTTGAAAAGAAGCGGCTTACCAATCAGTTTGCAGAACTCTGCATATCCATCCTGAGATTCGGTTTCCCATTTTCCGTTGAAAGCCATGGTTTGGGCGTTGATTGTTGAGCAGAGAGGAAGAGCAAGCTGAGAGTTGAAGTACTGATGGGTGAAGTTTCCTGCACTTATATACCCTACCTCTCTAAAACTCTGCCTCTTTTTCATGACATTATGGGCACACCATAACCAAGCAATAAATTTTTACTATGGCCTCACAAAAGCACAAGTCATCAAGTGCATGACCGCACGGCTGGTTACCTGGGTAGCAATGATGTAACGTACATGGGCAAAGAAGGATAATCATTCATGCTTAAAATCTTTTCCAATACAGTGTGTACAGTGACACAACATTGGATATAATGGAAATAGCACTTACCATCTATATGGTCAATATTCATGACAAATAGTTGATTAATTGGAGTAATATAGGAATATCTCCCATTTGTGCAGTAGTATGTCTTATAATGAAACGGCTACAAAAGTTTTTAGTTTTAGATTAGAAAGGTTTTAGATTGCCGCTGTCAAGTCTGAAGCTTAGTACTGAAGTCCATCTGCCTTGGCCTTGCTTTTGAAAGGATGGAAAGCTCTTTATGTCAGACTGAACTATATGTTCCAGTAGATAGTGATTCATACCCACACAAACCTTTCATCCATCTAGAAAACTCAACTGAGAGAAAAGGATATGCTACTCTTTTGACTATATTCAACCCTCTTTTCCACCCAAAAAAGAAGATTCTGCAATCATTTACTCCACCTCACATCGAATTGCTGTCTTCTGTGGAACATCAAAGATATTTTGAATGGAAGTAAAAAGGGCTCCAGTGTTGTTTGGTTCCCAATGCTCTTTAAAATCTCTTCTTTTGTGTTTCTGCAGAAGAAAGAAAGCCATACATGTTTGGAACCACATGATGGTGAGTAAATGAAAGAATTTTCATTTTTGGGTGGAGTATTCTTAAAATTAATTGATTACAGTTTTTGATTAAAAACTGTAATCAGACGAACTGTCTTAAAACTGTCTGAAAGTTTAATAGAAGGGAAAGCTGTGCCACAGGCCAATGCCCTTCAGCACATAAACCTCTGCTAGTTTCTCATAGAATACAGCTTTCATTGCATCATCTCCCTTCCGCTTGGCCTTACATTTTCATTTTTTTCCTCAAGTCTTATGTTGAGATTTACAGATAAATGTCAGCTTCAAAGATCTCTACCACACACAAATCTAGCAGAATGATAAGGTTAAGAGAGATAAAAGCAGAATCAGAACAGGAGGAGCTCTCTTTCACTTCCAGAGCTAGCTGCAAGCTCTCACCTCTGAAAGCACACGTTGATTCTTGGGGAACTGTGGGAACAGGCACTTTTGAAGCATCAAAAGGTCATTTGATGATGAGATATTATTATTGGTGAAGTTGAGGACAATCATGATAGTTCTGCAAAGAAGATGTTGTTCTTCATTTTTTGTCGTGGAAATGTAGCTACAGCTGCATAACACAATGCAAAACATTATTTTGCATTAACTGCAATTTCAAATAAACATATTTCATTGCACTCTATTGAATGGATTAGGAAAGCTGCTATAACAGCAAACAGACTGATAAACCCATGCTTATAAATGACACAAGCAGGTACTTGTCACAACTCTCTGAAGAGCATATTATTATGGTATGATTGCAAAACACTCGTTAAACTGTGTCCTTCACAATATAGTCACCAAAAGAAGAGTTGAATGAATGAAAACCATATAGTGAAACATCAACTTTTATAATACCACCATTCCTCTTCAAACGTCTCTCGGTTTGACAATAAATGTGTCATGTTGAAACATTATATGGTGACAAATTACTTTTGCAAAGAAATCTGATTGCCTGCAGTTTCTTCATGAAACCAGAACATTTGCCAATTACTTGAATTGTTCTTCAGCCTTGAAAGCTAACGCCATTCTGAAAATATGCAAGATGTACTTTCATTTTCAGAGAAATTCAAATCAAGTGTGGACAAATATGAATAAAGTCCTCTTTAGAGGAGTTCATTCACTGCAGTGACTCCTACAGCTGAGCTTTCTCTTCACAGAATAGTAGAGAAAGTATCATCAGACAAAAGGAAAGGTGAAAGGTCAGTGAACTGATGATCAGTAGGTCATTGACTATACAATGACATGTAGCTGCTGATTAAGATGAGCTTATCAAATATGCAAAAGACTTCTGAAAGCATTGGCACACATTAAAATGTTATGAATCAATACCGGTCTTTAGCTCATTAGCTAAATCGATTTTGAAATTATCCCTGAACCAAATGGTTAATGGAGTGTATTACGCTATGAACCATTTAGAATAAAACACATTTATAAAAATGTGAATAAAACCCAGATTTTCAGAGAGTGTTTCACTCAGATGACATTGTTATTATGAGTAATGAGGGAATACCATTATAGTATTTGTTAATATTTTGAAATGGTTTTTATCTTTGTATTTTCGGGTTTCATTTTAATTTTAGTTTGAGTTTTAATACTTTTGCTTTGGTCATTTTTATTCGTTTTTTATTATTATCTGCAGGTGTTTAGTAGGTACTTCAACTTAAAATTATTTATTTCAGTTACTTGTTTAGTTTAGTTTATGTTTTTAAATGTTTCGTCTAATCTATATTTAATTTAATTTAATTTCGACTTTAGTTTTAGATAAATGAAAGCACTGGTAAAATGGACCACACCAACAGACCCTGACGTAAATATACAACTCAACATCGCCCCTGGTGGCGCCAAAGTTGTCTCTTCATAATAAAGTATATTGACATAATAGAAGCCAATCACAATAGCGTTTCAAGGGATTTCCATTGAACGGCAAGAACATGAGCCAATCAATAAAGACCGCACGTTGAAGCAGCCAATGTGAAGTGTCAGTAGTTGTAAGTAGGCGGGCTCTTTTCTTATCAGAAGGAGAGGGCCAAATAGTAGCTGCAAAGCGGAAAGAAAATGGCGGCCGTGGCTGCGGAGCCAGGAGCTGCTGCGGCATCAACAACAGCGGGGGACGGGGTGGACTACGAACCCGAGCCAGGAGAGCATGTGGTCGACCTAGAGGCCCACTCCGTACCAGAAATGGAGCTTTGTCACCAACCCGAGGATGTGGATGCAGTTCAGGAATGTAGCCAGGTCCAAATGGAAATCAGAAGGCCGGACCTTCAAGCTGCGGGAAAAGCCCTCGCTGCCCATGCGGTCTGTGAGCGCACCGAGACGGGGGGTTCCTGGGGCCGTTTGGGCACAGTCGAGCAGCCCGTGCTTATGGACTACAGGTGTACAGACGTTTCTGATTACGAGGAATCCTTCTCGCCGAAGGTGGAGACTGCAGGCGAGGTGAGTGCTCTCGAATCCAGCCCCTGCCTTCTGCTCCCCAGGTCCATCTCAGACTCCCAGCCCTCTGTGGTCTTCTTGCATTCCCTTCCCGCTCAGGTTCCGTCGGAGCCTGAAACTGGACTGTCTCTGGCTGTCGAATATGACTCCAATCCCCTGTTAAGCCATCCTACCGATCTGGAGTGTGAACTCATAGGCTTCACGCAGCCGGAGCCCGAACCCGCAAACGATGCTCACGAGTCGGAACTCAACACTCACGAGGATGCTTTCCATGACATCCCGCACCCCTCAGACCACCTGGACTCTCTGTGCGCTGCAGAGGAGACCTCGCTGGGAGAATCGGTGGATCAGAGCTGCATTAGTGACTTGTCTACTGTTTCCAGTAAGGACTCTGCCGAACTTCCAGCGGTGGTGGATCAGTCGCTCATCTCATCAGCTGAGTCGGAGGAAGTGCGCTCGCATCCTCCTCATCAACAGAGTTTCAAAACGGACCTCAGCGAACCCGAAAGGGAGTCGGAGATGAAAGCCCCGGTTCTGTGTGAGACAGAGCCCGACACGGTTGAGCGCCTGGTGCTCGGGTCCGAGGTTCGAGTCACGCTGGATCACATCATAGACGACGCGCTCGTGGTGTCGTTTCGCTTAGGCGAGAAGATCTTCTCCGGGGTACTCATGGACCTTTCGAAAAGGTAAACACGGGATTTGCGCTAAGTTAAAGCGTGTCCACTTACACATCCACCATACTTACTAAAGTTGGCTTTCGTAGCTGTCAGAAAGGTAAACAGCATCTTCACCATTACATTTTAGTTTTTAACTTATCTTTATTTTAGTTCATGTTAAATCGTCAGCATAGTTTGGAGTATAGGAGCATAGCTATTAATGTGACTGTTTTTATATAGCCTCTTTTGTTGTGCTCATTTTATTTTCCTAAAATTCTTATGCATGCATATATATATATATATATATATACACACACACACACACACACACACACACATAAGAATTTCAGGAAAATAAAATGGGTACAAAAATAAATTTTATATATATGTATATATATAAATTGTATCATTATTTATTATTGTACATAAGTATAAGGGAAAATATTTTAGTTGGTCACCACCTTTCAAGATTTTTTTTATTTTTTTTTTAATAGAAATTTAAAAAAAAATGTATTTGCTGTATAAATAGTGACACAAGACAAATTAATTTTACAAAGTCTGTCATTGAAGGACAGTGCTGTCACTACTTGAATTTTCATGTCACTCATGTAACTAGGTATACATGATCATAATAACCAGGGGGAAAAACAGTGTTATGCTGGTGATTAACACCCTACCAATTGCTACCACACTTTGTCTGTCTCAACACCCTCTTTCACACGTTTTCTCTCGGTGTCAGGGATGAATCATAGCGGAGCCCAATTTATAGTGCCATCCACACGGCCTGCAGTGGGATCTCCAGTCTCTCAGTTCAGTTCTCACTTGAGAGAAGTCAACATGAAACATTCTTGTGATGTTGCTGCGTAGGGAATGTGTCCTGAAGAACCTGTGCAGCAACATTGTTAGGAAGTGATTATTACATCACCTGGAAATTACAGTTTGTCAATGCTGATAAACCTTAGAAGTTAATTAAACATCAGACCAGACTGGTTTAAGTAAGCTTGTCAGCGGTGGCGTTTCAGGATTAAATGATTCTGTGGGCTTATTCCGAAGATGCCCATCATCTTTATCCTAACACCAGTGACATACCAGACCAGGGCAGGGGTTCTCAAACTTTTTTGTCAGTCGAACCCCTTAGGCGCAATGTATTTACTTGAAGTAGCCCCTGAGTTTTCAAGTTAATATTTCAATAATTCAATGAGAAATTTGCATGTCTACAGTTCTCTGAGGTCAGTTAGTGGTCACATGGCATGCAAGTTTTTAAATGTTTTTTAAGCTTTTTATTTTTACTTTGTAGCTGGTCTTTAAAGTGGACTCAAACCACTTTTTAGTTGTGATAGTGTCTTAGTCCACATTATATTCACATTGGTGTTTTAAGAACGCAATCAAACCTTATTATTATTGTTTTAACTCTAATTATAAAAATATTATTGTGAAAGATAATTACTGTTGTAAATTACTATTGCACTGTAAAATAAAAAATTAATCTTTGAGAATAATTATAGTAATAATGTTATTTTACCCAAGTTACCATACTAATATTTATGTCTTAAACTCGCCTTCAAACGTTTAAACCCTCAAGTTTCAAATTCTTAAGCGTTTGTTTTTTGAATGCAAGTGAAATGCTGTAGATTTCTGTCCCCAAAAATACTAACCTAACGCACGTTGCATTCTCATATCGAACTCACAGCAAATGCAGAGACAGAGTTTGCTGCATTCACTGTGAACCGAGCCATTCTGAAATGCTGTAAACACTGGATCACAAGCTGTTCATACTTCAGTCTGTAACACAGCAGATTGTGCAGCCCCATCTTTTAATTTTACATTCAATATAATTAATTATTGGCTCAACTCAGGAACCCCCTGTAGTTCTCTCACAAACCTGCCAGTTGTTCGCGATCCCCCATTTGGGAAACCCTGACATAGATGGCAGACCACTATTTTAAACGATTATTCACAGATGCTGCCACCTTGAGTCTTAGTATTGCTTTAAGGCCCACAGCATTGGTATTTTGTGTTTAACATGTTAATGATGAAATGCGTTACCGCTCTGAATCTCAAACAGAAGCAAAAAGATGTTCTTAATTGAGAAAATGTCACTAGCTCAGCTAATTTCATGCTTCCTGTGAGTAAGGCATCTGTGAGGGTGTGGGGAAAAGCTCAAGCTTCCTTTCTTCAATTTCCATTTTGTCTTTAATGATTTCAGTGTAATTGCTGATGTTTTGAAGTGGAGACACAAGATGGACGTGGTGACGGATGGATAGATGGCTATTCATTCTATAATTGTTTAAAAGCAGCTAATGTCCTGGGTGTGGAATATTTTCCTTCTGAAGGTCCCACTGTTCCTCTGACGTAACAGCTGCAGTACACTGAGTGAACTTGAACACAGTCAGTGTCATGGCGTTGAAGTGGTTTGCCAGACACACTGTCCAGTTTATTTTTAGCTTCTGCTATAAACGCTATCTTCATTTGCATTTTTCAGCATTAGATCATTCCCAGTTTCTGGATGAAACTTCTAATGGGAGAAACACATCTCAGGATTGTCGGATCACTCCCTCCTTAAGTGCAAGCTATTTCAAGTTAGGTACAATGTATATTCCCTTGCCAGTTAACAGATCACAGACACAACCCTTTTTTATGGGACAGTATTTCCAGGGCACATTTTTTGCACTCCCTTATACTACAAGACGTAATGCAAAATAGAATAAAAATATATTGTCTGATTTTGACACACAACAAGTATCAGTGTATTAGAACATGCATTTTTGTGTGCCTATTAAAGCTAAAGCTAGACCGGTGTATGTAAAGGTGTTGATTCACTTCTGAAATAAGCTGTATGGTGGTTAGAACTTTACTCTGCAGAATATGAATGATTAATTTTTATTTGTGGAGTAAGTTCTTCTTGACCCACATTGGATATACAATGAAAACTGTGAACAGGGTGATTGCCACAGATAATGGTTCTTTCAGGCCCGGGTGTCTGTTTTTGACATTCAAGAACATTTTAGTATAACGTTTTGTTAGCCATTGTGCTTTGCTTCTGATATCATGTTTTGGGCTAAACAAGATCAGCTATCAGACAGAGTAGGAATGGTTTCAGTTCTTTTTTTAGACCTGTTTTTCCTCCTTTTGTAGAGGTATATGTACTATTAGAAAGTAATAAAATATACTACACTTGAAAGAATACTGTAATTTTGAAAACTAAAGCCACCACAGTTGGAGGCATTTTATCCTATCATGTATTACAGTCAGCTGAAGTGGCATTTTATTCTATCATGCATTTTCTTTGTTGTATGAGACTGTATTATTGTTGCAGAAAATAATCTGTACTCCTGCTTTGTCAGTTAATCATCCTCCTTCCCATCTCATGAATACAAACATGACAAGATGAAATGACATTTAAATAAAAACAGAACAATAATGTCACTGATGCTTGACATTTCTTGCAAAATAATGAATGCTTTAAGACTTCACAGTAATTCTTCAGCTGTTTGATGGAACAAACAAATATGTGCTGGATTTTCTTATTGCACATGAGTAGCTATAATATAGTAGTGTACGCTTTTTTTAGATTTGAGAAAGCAGGGATTAGACCCCTTCCTCATTGTTCAGGTTGGTTTAATCGTAGTGTCTTTGTCTTTTCTCCTCTTCTGTACTTCAGGTTTGGACCTTATGGGATTCCTATTACCGTGTTCCCCAAGAGAGAGTATAAGGACAAACCAGAATCTATGCAGCTAAAGGTGGAAGCATTCCAGTCAGCGACAGATAAGGGTGTCACTCAAGGACCTAGTGATGCCCCCATTAAGGACCCTGCGGATGCTCCAGATGCCCCTCTGAAGGACCCTGCTGAGACTCCTTCAGCGCCCCAGCCCTGTCCCAACCCTCAACCTAACCCATGGACCTCAAAACCACCTCCTTTGTTTCAGGAGGGGGCCCCTTATCCACCTCCATTGTTCATCAGGGACACCTACAACCAGTCGTTACCTCAGCCTCTACCACGCAAAATCAAGCGGCCCAAGCGTAGGCTGTATCGAGAGGAGCCCACTTCTATAATGAATGCCATCAAGCTCCGACCAAGACAAGTTCTGTGTGATAAATGTAAAGGGGTTGTGGTGCAAGGGGACAAGCGTGAGACACGCAGAGGCCCCATTTCAGACTGCCGAAGTGACGATGCCAAAAGACGTCGTAATGACAGCGCAACGGCAGCTGCTGGTAAGCGGCCACGTAGTGATCCACGTTCTGAAGAGAAGGGCCGTAGTACTGATGGGCCCAAACGGCAGGGTTCGGCTGTACGAGTGTCGTCGGCCACTGCCTCTTCTCTGGGCCATAGTCAGGTCAAGGGTGCAGCTGCAGGGAACAAAATGGTGAAGGGGGTGTCTACTACAACAGCTTCCTCTGCCAACTCTCGAGTGCAGCTCAATGCCAAAAAAGTGCTTCAGAGCAAAAACATTGACCACTCCAAAGCACGAGAGGTGCTGAAGATGGCCAAGGCACAGAGAAGACAGAGAGAGTCAGTCACAGGCAGTAGCGGAAACACCAAGGCCATAACCAGGGCCGCTGCCCTTCAGGAAGCCCACCAAAAGGTCCACTTTACCAGGCGACTGCAACAGATCAGTGGAGGAGGTCCTAGTTCCAACCCCCTGCCACCTAGGATGCGCATCAAGCCCCAAAGGTACCGTAATGAAGAGAACGATTCTTCTTCATGTAAGCTGCCTTGCTTGGAGAAAGTGCCGGGAGGGGGCCATTTACCGTTGCCTAAACCAGCCGTGCCCCGCTGCACCTCCACACCCTCCTCCTCCTCCTCCTCCTCCTCCTCCTCCTGCTCTGCAAGCAAAGTCGCCACAGCTGTAGAGCCCCAGAGGCCAGACAAAGCAATCGAGTCCCTGCTCAGCCAGGCCCATCCCGTGCCCCTCCCAGCCCCGGAATACAGGGAACCCCAAGCTGAGCCAGAGGAACAGGAGGGGCAGGAGGAAAAGCGGGAGACGCGTGGGAGCAAGGCTGGTAACCTAGTGGTCTACATGACCCTTAACCCCAGCCTGCCCGACTCCTCTAATACTTCCATGTGCAGCATCGATAGTGCAGATGACTTAAAGTCATCAAACTCTGAGTGTAGCTCTACCGAAACGTTTGAATTCCCCCCTCCTGGTGATTTGCGATCGGCCCCTGCCCCTGGCACATCCTCCGCTTTTGCCTCTGCCTCTCCCTCTGCTCCTAAGGATGACAAAAAGTGCAGTAAATCCCTCAAAGCTGCCGTCTTTTCCAAAAACGTCACGAAGTGCGTTGCCCTGGATGGCAGGACAATTTGTGTAGGGGACATTGTTTGGGCCAAAATCCTTGGCTTCCCTTGGTGGCCCGCCCGCATCCTAGCCATCACAGTGAGTCGCAAAGATAATGGGCTCTTAGTCAGGCAGGAGGCCCGGGTATCTTGGTTTGGGTCACCCACCACTTCCTTCCTGGCCATTACTCAACTTGCCCCATTTCTAGAAAACTTCCAGTCTCGCTTTGACAAGAAGAGAAAGGGCCTGTATCGTAAAGCCATCACTGAGGCCGCCAAGGCTGCCAAACAGCTCACACCCGAGGTCCGAGCCTTGCTAACTCAGTTTGAGACGTGAGGTTGGTATGCCTGGGTAAGGTAGGCAAAACAGGCACTCGAGTTGGCCCTGTACCCCTTCTGACACCTCTCAAACTCTGCTGTACCCAGTCAGCTTCCAGAGTGAAATACAGAAAAATGTCAGCCAGGCAACCAGGACTAATTTATTTTTGTTGAGAAAGCAAGAGAAGGGGATTGAATTGAATAACTGAAAGCAAACAGTTCCCATGTCAAGTATCTAGTGTTTGCCCGTATGTAACCATATCTTGTCATATCATCATACATTTATTATAAGGAAAGCAGATGACGGAGATTTCTAGAAAAAGGCTTTATGGGTTCTTGAGTGGTAACAATATTTGTTTTCCTTGAACTTAGTTGTTCTTGGTCAATGTCTGTTGTTGAAGGACCCTGTAAACATGAAAAGCAAATCTTCTCAGAGTGGGATTTTTGAGCTGGAATAGCTTTCTCCTGAAGAATTAGGCATGTGTGAAAATGTCTGCTTGAACCCATTCTCAAATGGTTACCAAATAAACGATGGCCAGTCGACTGCTGCATAGTCTGGAACCCTAATTTAGCACAGTTAATGCTTCCTTTTGGATGATCAGAGAAAGTGTTATAGGTTCACAGTGTCAAGATCATTCCTGCTGCATTTTCTATCACTACAGTGTTTCTAGATGTCCAATCTCCCTTAAGATTACATGAAGTCAAGTCTTGGATTTCACTTAGGCCATCCTTGAATTGTTTTCTTTTAAAATGGAAGTTGTGTAACAAAGTTGACCCTGTTGGGTAGTGCCTCGTTCAGGTAGAAAAAGGGACTTAATTGGTGCTGATCTTTCTCAGATGTTCTGAGACCACTAATCCGAGTGCAGTGATCTGAGCAGACGGCTGTTGATCTGGGAGCGGCTCTTGGCTTTGCAGCCAGTCGTGCTGCTGTTACGGGGGGAGGTGCCTGTAAGCCGAAGTCACCTCAAGTGCCACTGTGAGGAGAGCACAGTGACTCTGTAAATGCAGAGAGTACACCTCAAACACGGAGAAACCTGCCAGCCTATCTGTGCGTCCTCCTTCCCCACCCCTCGCAGCTACAACATCTGCTTCCCAAGCTCATTCTTCCCTTAATCTACTTGCCCTGTTCACAGCTTCTTTTTCTTTTCCTCCACTTGTTTTGCTCCCTCCTGCCGTTGTCATATGTTTGCATCTTAGACTGTGTTTATATGTCTGATTATGGCGAAAATGTTCATGTTACTCAGCCAACCCATTGGCCACCCTGACTTGGTTTTTGCATGAGTTTGGGAGTGTATACATGTTAAATGGAATAATACGCATTTTTTAATGGCTCCATATGTTTATCCAATTTAGGCATATCACATCAAGAAGCAAATTATAAGTTTTGATGTAGCTGCAGTGGAATGCAAAACTCTAAAATGAGTTTCATTAAGTAACTCAATGAAAACACTTAACTGTGGTGTCCTGCTGCGTAGTGAGAGGCATTGGAGCACAAGGCAGCAGTTCTCATACGTGTGAATATGTTCGTCATAATTATGTCCCTCTGGCTGGTTTCGTTGTTCAGTGATTTTGTTCTGATTCCAGTATTCATTCTCTCATCTGAAATGTTTTGCTAAGGATTATTGTGTTTTGAATTTATTTGTTGTGCCTGAACTTTATTTTCTGCCATTTCATTATTTGAATAATAGGGCTGAAGGTCTTGTATGTAAAGTGTTCAAAATGTGTTTTGCCTTACTGAATTGAAGATGAATGGCCTGGATCTTATTTCAATGCTGAGAACCAACTATTTTATTTGTGTGGAGGAGCATTATCTATTTTTTTTTTTTTATTTCTTGTCTGTAATCATGGTTGTGTCTTTGCATTGCATACCCATTAGCATCTTAAACTGTCCAGTTATATTTACATATCTGAGAAGGGACATACTGTAAGATACCTTGGTCTTTCCACATATGACTTAGCAGGTAGAGATCGATGACTTGAGGAAAAAGAAACGATGCTTGGTAGACCACACTGACTGACTGACGGAGGTTTGTGTAAAGGAGTAAAAACGGTATTTATTTTGGTGGTTGGCTTTTTCATTTCAGCATCTTATTCTTTACTTTTATTTCTATCTGTTTGCAGGTCAGAGAATGCTGTAAAACCATTGAAAAAAAATTAACAGTTGAAGATATTGTGTATGTTTTCTGATGTTTTAAGAATATATAAATAAACTGTGAACTTCAAGAATTTTACCTAGTTGTCATTATTTTTGTATTTTATCTTCTTAATACCACTTCTCACTTCAAAGCATATTTGTCTCATGTGTAGCCTAGTGCACAACCCGGTTTTGGGAAAAGCTGTTTTTCCATGTTTCTCAAATGAAAAATTCACTTGACATCATGACAGCCCAACCAAACTAGTGCCTGTCATCTCACAGTTAACTAAATGCATGAAAAAGACACATTTTCATACCTGCAAACAGATGAGAAAACCATAGGGTAGACTGAACCAAAATGTGCCAGACTGTAACTACACATCATATAGTAAATTAAGATACACGGGGTTGTCATAAATAGTCTTAGTGATTTGACATTTCAGTGGATCCCTGTTGTGCGAGTTGTTCTTCATGCTGTCGGTGTCTGCGTTTTCTTGGCTTTGTAAGATCTGACATTACAATGGAAAAACAGCTGTGCATGACATGAAACTTTATTGTAAAGTGACCTTAATTCCATAATGTGTTTGATTTGCTGTTGAATATACATGTAAGAAATCTCAAATGTTGAAAAACATTGGCTGTATTGCCCTACCTGGCATCATGTGATATTTATTTGAAATATTTATTTGCAAATTGTAAATGTCAAAAAGTAACATTCTCACTGGCTCACCTTTTAAAGCTCATTTATTTCTAGAGACTTTTTGTGAAATTCTGTGAACCACATCATCTGTCCTATAATGTCAGTTATGGATCAGGGAGCAAGTCAATATTTTTCCTAGATTAAAGTCAGAATACACCTGAACTTCAGTGATATCTTATCAGTAAAGAGATATAATTTCAGTTATTTTTAGTGCAGTAGGTCTACATAGTTCACCGTACCAACACAATAAGAAGCTGATTTTCTCTGTTCCTCAAACATTAGATTACTGAAATTAAGCAATTTCTGAAAAGTGAATTAACGCATGAAGATATGGCTTGCAGTTTTTTTCTATCATTAACCAGTAGATTGTGTCGAAATATAGGTTACACTGTTTATGTTGTTTTTAAGACCTTAGAATCTTACATTTACTCTCAAAGTGTTTTTTTTTTTAAATAAATATCTGAACTTCTGTTGTCTTTTCCCCCCCTCCAGTGCTGCAACTCTAAAGGGCTGCTGATTGGTCTGTTGCCCAAAGCACTGCCATTGGACAAGAGCCAGTAAGATGAGAAGAGCCATCCACACTTGGAGAAGCAGGTGTAATGGAGAAAATATTTTTAAGAAAATAATTATATATTTATAACAATGAATTACAGACTCTCCGCCTATTTCCCGATCAGTCATGCTGAAATGAATTGTTCAAACCAGATTTTTCTTTACCAGGCTTTTGTGTTTAAAGCATGTGAAAGGACACTTGCAAATACTGAACAGCACAGGGGAGTTACGGCTGTTGTGGATCGTAGGTGGCGATCGGGCACACATTAAAGCAGGGTTTTTAAGTGTTTGTTTGTAATGATAGAGAAAAACGAATATAACATAAAATAAAATAAAAAACATTTGATGTAAAAATGCAATAAATATTGCATGTGCTATGCTTCACAGTACAGTTACAGAGGATTGGGTCTTATTGTGCTTCTAGTCTTGGATAAAATCCCAGTGTTCCTTCCCAACATCTGTGCTCCTTTATATTGAGAAATTCTGAACCTTAATAGTCTATACTGTTCTTGAAGATTTCCACTCTGTGGCACACCACACATTAAATGATCAATGCAATCTGTGCAGGGTTTCAAATCACTTCGACCCACTAATCCACTTTTACCTTTTTTGTGCTCCCCTCCATTTATAAATGATTTTCTAACTATACAAGTCAAACATGACAGTAAGAACGCAGTTTTGCTTCAAGGTTTTCCTGTTGGCATCATTCATTGCACACGCTCAACCTGATGCCTGTATAAAGGGAATTAAGAGCGAGTGAGAAACAGCTGCTGACATGCTCCCACTTTCAGTCTTGCTGTTGTACATACATGCGTTTCTGTACAATCGGAGAGCTCTCCTGACTATACATATGAAGATGGTGGTCGTGGGCGTAAATTTGTTTTATTATTGTATTATCTCTTTATGAAATTAAACCTTTTTTTTGCCTTGTACTAAGCTGTGTGTTGTATTCTTTAATAATAAATCATGCAGTATTAAGTACATCCAAGAAATGACAACGGACAATACAGACAGGATCTTAATGGCTGGTTTAATGTGAACGCAGGTAAAGATGGAGTAATGAAGGCCATAATTTCAGTGCTCAGGACTGACAGTCTGTGGATCACTGACACCAGCTTCACAGCAAATGTAACACTGGCATGCCAAAAAACTGAGCATGTATATAATACAAGCTTAAAAAATCCCCAGACTTCAAAAGCCACTTGACATGAGCAGATAATGTAATTGGTCAAATCAAATGGAAACTGCTTACATTATTTGCATCAATGAATTCGTGCAGACCAGGAATATGAATGAATAGTCAGAGAGTGACTGAACGCTTGAATGGGGCAGTTGACGCTTGTGTCACTCTATAAAAAGACTCTAGATTGCTATCTGTTGTTGTTATTGGCATTCTGAACAAAATTAACGGAGTAGGATCCTGTGTTGGAGTCTTGGTTGACCTGGAAGTTGGAGGTGGAGAGACCAAAGGGTCGTAAAATCATGTTGCCCAAGTCCTTCAGCTTACCTAAGAAGAGAAGAGATGATAAATACATTATCTGCCAACAACAACGTTTTTGAAAGTCTCTTATGCTCACCAAGACTGCATTCATCTGATCAGTAAAAACAGAAATATTGTAAAATACAGTTACATTTATATATTTTTGTATTATTCCTGTGATAGCAAAGCTGAATTTTTAGCAGCCATTACTCCAATCTTCAGTGTCACATGATCCTTCAAAAGTCTAATTGTTGATTTGGTTCTCAAGAAACATGTTGAAAATAGTTGTACTCCTTTATACATGTACATTTATTTTTCCCCAGAATTGTTTTGATGAATAGAGAAAACATTTTTTTTTTTTTTGAAACAGTCATCTTTTGAAATAATGTCTTAAATGTACATTTTTATCGATTTTTATTATATGAATAAATATGTTCTTGAATAAATGTTTTAAGAGTTAATTTCTTTAAAAAGTAGTGGTTTTCTATTAAACAAAATGAAAATGTGCTTTAAACAAAAATTACAATATTAACAACCAAAAGCTGGTCTAAATGTTTATCCCTCCTACATTAAAATGCATTCAATAAAATTTACATGTAAAGTACATAACACTGTACATCAATAATGAACATTTTATTTTTAGTTTGTATTTTATTTATAGTTTCAATCAATTTAAGCCTTATAATAAAGTGTGTAAATACATTAATACGGTACTAAATGCGTTTCATAGGCTAGGCTTTAAATGCAACACTCAATTTTATGCAATATGTAAGGGGTGGTCTCCCTGCTTCCAGCTCTCTACCACCAAGGAGTCCTTGGTCCAAAAAAAAGGTTGAAGACTCTAAAGGTGTAAAGTGATTGTGGAGAGCTTTGTCTCTGTGACTGGGACTGCAGTGAGATCAATATGAAGTGTTGAACAGCCACACCCTCACTGTAAACTGCAGGAAATTCAGCCTGCCAGCAACAGTCTTTACCTCAAACTGTTAATCTGAGCTTTAGAGGAAACATACAATGGCTGCATTTATTAATATCTTGAAATAGATAATACCAGCATGTGCTCTGAGAAAGCGCAGCAACATTTTCCTAGTAATGGTAACCAGAGAAAACCGTACAAATCAATGTTACACTTGTTACCGTATTAGAGATCAGCTGATCTTTATCATCAATATTAATACCAGCTTATTAATGTTCAATTGTCTTACAATCGATATACAAACCATTTTTGTTGTTTTGATTTTTTCTGCTTTTTGACACAGTAACAAAATAATCAGACATTAGATGTTAGAATTAAAACACATTTATACAGTACTCATTTATATTACGAATTTTTTTTAACTAAAATGATTGTTAGCAAAAAAAAAAAAAGTAAAGTGTCAAAGTGTGGCCAAAAATATTGTTAGAGCTAAGCTGATGTTGTTTTATCATCCATACCAATTCTAATTTATTAAAGTTTACGTGTTTGACAACCGATATGTAAACTATTTTTTGTTGTTTTCAATTATATTTCTGTACAAATACAATAATAAAATCATTAGACATTAGAATTACAATACTTTATAATAATATATAATTTATTATTGTTATATGCATGTATTACAGGTGCATCTCAATAAATTAGAATGTCGTGGAAAAGTTCATTTATTTCAGTAATTCAACTCAAATTGTGAAACTCGTGTATTAAATAAA